CAGGAAGCGTGTCATAGTGGACGAGCGAAGAGGGGGCGGCTGGAGTTGTTGAAAGTCTGCTCGGTCACCTTGACAGCGTCGTCGGCCTCACATCTGAACTTGGCCGGAAGCTTCGCAACTAGCTCCTCAACTTCATCTTCGAGCTTGTCAGACTCTTCTCCTCCGTCCTACTTGCCTGTTGATCCCTCCTCCTCCTCCTCCTCCTCCTCCTCCTCCTCCTCCTCCGACATTCTGCTCTTGTTCAACCTTCTCTTCCTGTAAACATCTCGTCTTCCCTGCCCTTCTCTGCCTCTTCCTTCCCCTCGCCCTCAACCCTCGCTCTTCCTCTCCCTCTCCCTCTCGCTTTCCCTCTCCCTTCCTCTCTCTCCCTTCCTGTCTCCCTTCCTGTCTCCCTTCCTCTCTCCCTTCCTCTCTCCCTAGCACCAACAGCAGCACAATTTTCCCCACCTTGCAACTTGCCAGCCATCTTCCTCAGCCTCCCCGACGCATTCAAGCGGGAGACAATCGCGTTGGCGTTCCTTTCCACGTCTCCGTTGTCGTCCGAGGTCAATGACGCTAGCGCTTGAAACCCAGCGCGATTGCACTGAGAAACAATATTTTCAGCAGGTTAAGTACAAAGATGTACAAGACAACAAGATAACGAGAAGAGGTTGTACCGACCTTGACAAGTGCATGGCTGCAATCGCACAGCAGACTTTCCAACAGGGACACTGTCCTCGACCTCACACGGGCCGACGGATGTGTCGTACACAAGCTCAAGACCCTCTGAAGGAGGCAGGACATGTTGTCATCCGTCGTGGCGATCCATCGGCTGTCGAAAGCGACCGTCAAGCTCCCCCTGTCTCCGACCGAGCTCGGGCAGTCCGAACTTCCACCATGAGCTGCTTCCCCTTCGTCCTTCACCCCCATCCTGCAAAAGGACCCGAGCGACAGCTCCACCTGTGGTCGGCATCAGCTGGAGAAGTCCGTGAGCACAGCAGCTGTAAACGAATCTCACATCCACTTGCCCCTCGTCCTGCATCTTGACAACATGCGGGCTCAGGAACTTTCGCAGGACTGTCCCCCACAGGCTCAGGGTCGAGGAGATCAGCCTGCATGATCAGCAGTCGCGTCATCTCCCAGCACACCCCCAGCAGCTCACAGGAGCAGGCAACCATAGGACGCCTCCCGCTCCTCACCTCGACGCCGTTCCCTTCCCGCCGCTCTCAACAACGATCCTGCAGCAAGCACTCGCTATCCCTGTGGTGACGTCATCATCGGCCGCCTTACCCCGCACCTCCTCCCTTGCTCGGACCCACCTGGAAGATAGAACGCCTGTCGTTCCAGACATCCACCGCTGTGCTCGAAGAAGAATTCCAAGATCTGCACAGATTGCTGGGGAAGCAGGTCAGGAGGGAGGAGGCAGAGGAGCGAGGGCGAGGAGACACTTGCCTGGCTCACTGCTCCTGACAGGACCTTGCTCCCTCTCGAGACAGCTAGCAGAACCGCCACGACATACCCGAGCTTGGCAGCGCTTTCCTGTTTCAAGGGGATATTTCTCAGCTTGACGGCAGCTGAAGCATCCATGAGCTATCACCTCCCACACGTTGGTAAGCCATCTGGGAGGAGACGAGCCTGTCATCAGGCCGCTAGAGGAGGAGGAGGAGGAGGAGTCAACAGCGTCCTGCATGTCAAAGATCCTTCGAAGCGTTGAAAGCGCGGATCGGACCACTGTTTCCGAGGGATTGATCTGTTAGGGACCGAGTTACGCCTTCACAGCAAGAAGGCCTCCGCGCTGCTGGGAAACCTGAGGCACATCGCTCGGCGGTGACGGGTCCTCGAAGTGCGTGAGAGTCTTGGTGACTATCAGCAAGACATCCATAGTCTAACCTCACATACATCACAACCCTGAGCTCTCAACACTTCGTGAGCAACACGTGTCACCTGCTTGTCGTCTAGAGCATCAATGCCCGCGCTAGCTAAGATGCTCGACATGGCTCCAAGCGCCAGCTCTAAGCCCCTCTCCTTCGCCATGCACACTGCGGCCCGACGAGGATGTTGATCCGCCCTTGTCATGTCACGCACCAGGAAGAGGATCGGAAAGATCGCGAACTCCATCAACTTGCCCGCATCATCGTTGCTCATCTGATCGAACTCGCTGCTGATCCCCTGCAGCGCTTCGTCGCGAGAGGACGCATCCTCTGCGCGCAGCAGAAGCAGACACTTCTGCTTGATCCTAGCGAACACCCCACCTTCACCCCCTTCACTCCAGTCGCCAAATCCATCATGCTTCGTGAGCTCGGCCTCCATCCTGACTGCTTCTTCTCTCCTCCTCTCCTCTCCTCTCCTCTACTCTCCTCCTCCTCCTCCTCCTCTCCTTCCTGACTCTCTCAACACGGCGCTGCCTGCCCCCTGTGCATTTCTCACCAATCTCCTGCCATGCTAGCTGGTGCCCGGTGTCCGGGTTTCAAAACAGGACCGCGTGATCTGGCAGACCAGCATCGGAACGATATCCCCACCCTGTATCCCCACCCCCACCCTACCCCCCACCCCTACCCCCCACACCCAGTGGGAACTCACAGATAGACATCCTAGCCTACCCCACCTCCAAATAAAATCCTGGCAGGAAAACTTCCGTTCAATTACCCCTAGTCTTCAGTCATTTTCTATACCACCCCTGCAGTCTGTTTTACTGGACAAACCCACCCCTTGGGAAACCAAAAAAGAAAACAAGATTTTAAAATATTTTAGAAGTGTTCCGTCATGCACATTTCCGGCTCGTTACTTCGGGGTAGGGTGGGTCAGTAGGATGTGGGGTAGGGTGGTAAGGCACTATATAGATATAGGGGTGATGGGGTCAAGTGAGCGGACGACTTGGTCTGGTAGAGGGGGGTAGTCATTGGTGTCTTCTTCATCTTGCTGGGGGTGGTCAATCACGATGTGACTGGAAGGAGGGTGGGGTAGTACAAAGATATATTGGAGGCTCAAAGGTCAGGGGCAAGGGGGTGGGGGTGGGATCTTTGGGGAGGGTGGGGGCGGTCAATCAACCATGCTGGAAGTACAACGCGGCGGGAAGGCGGTAAGATGGAGAGAGAGGAGAAGAGGAGGAGAGATCATGTGCGATATGAAGGAAACTACAACGAGATCAGAGGAGGGAGAGCACTGCAAGGATGAGTGAAGAGCGGAAAAGAGGAGTGGATGGGAATATCTGAGCAAATATCAACGATGGTGTGAGATTGGCTGGGAAAGGATTGGTAGATATGTTTGAGATGCTGGAAGGTTGAAGAATGCAAGAATCATTGCCGCTAGCAACCTGTCCGATATTGAGGAAGTTTGGTAGGAGAAGTTGGAGGACAGGCGTCATGCAGTGTGGTTGGTGGATTGAGAGAAACTGTTGGTAGTCAAGGAGCTTTTGTGATTATTCTGCGCTGAAGGATTGGGAATGAATGAGGATATAATGCTGGTATTGGAGGATATGGTATCCAATACAGCAGCACAAGAGAAGGGTTGAAGGGGAGGGTGTGGGGTTGGATATTGGACAACGTCCGTTCACCATTACTGAGCTTCCTTGCAGCGCGGCGGGAAGGGGAGGAAGCCAGGGGTGGCATGCGACCGCTGTCATTCATTGAAGATCAAATGTGATGATTTCCGTCCATGCAGATCGTGTGTTCGTAGTTGTCTCGGTTCTCAGTGTCATACAACCCACAAGGAACAATCTTGTTTGAACTGCAGGAAATCGAAGCTCAAGTGTGATAAGGGGAGGCCCTGCGATCGGTGCGTGAAGAGAGGGACGTCGGCCACCTGCAAGGACACGGTTCCTCCTCCCACTTCTCCGGATGTCTCGTGCGACTCTCCTGAGGACGCAACTTCAATCGGCGACAACTGCTCGAGCAGCGATCTGGTGGTGGTGTCACGGGACAAGAGGGCGAGGCCGATGTCGCCATGGGAAACGGACCTGTTTGCAAAGAGATTCAGAGGCAGCGACAGCAGTGATGAGGATGACACTCAGCTCCCGCACCTTGATTGGTTGGACTCGGATTACTTCTCTATGAACAGGAAAATGTTCAGATCTCAGAATCCCATCTTGATCCACCCGCTGAATGTGGAACGGCCTCTGCAGACTAACACGAGTATAAACAGCAGATTCTCCCCCTCGCTAGAAGTCAATGCCTTCAGTCACATGGAAGGACTCATGTCGATATACAAACGGTTCTTCGCGGCTGGATACGACTCAACACAACTCTTGCAGATGTTTAACAATCTGCCTTTGCACATTCTTTCAATAATCAACGAGGGCGTGATCGCCATGCACAAATTGTCTGTAATATGGAAGAAGTATCCGCGAGAAAACGAGACTCCAGCAAGCCCGTCCTCTCAGACTCTCTCTCATGATTCTTCAAGCGAAAATGGCCTCGGGTACTTCACTATTTCCTGGGACCAACAGAGTTCTGCACGAACTTTCTTTCAAGTGAACCATTCTGCTGGAGCGCTGCTAAACCTCCATCCAGAAGAGATCGTTGCGCGGTTTGGAAATTGCGAATTCCGGATGCCCCTCACAGACCTTGAGTTTCTAGCGCAGATTCTCAGTGATGTGTTGAACTTTCAGAATCCCAAGTTTGTCACCTATGCAAGGCTTGCTTTGCATACGTCATCGTCCAACCAGTTTCAAGACGCTCTCTTCGTCCGCTGTACTCGGTACAGACTGTTTGACTCCGTCGGCATTGAGTCGCACAAGCGATACTTGGAATTCATCTCCCCGGAGGAATTCGAGAGAGTGAGATTAGCAGACCCGGCAAGGTAAGATTGATCCTGCCTTGTGATCGGGGAGAGGGTCTGACGACTGGCTTCAGTTGTAGGCCCTTCTTCCATGCCATGGGGGACGATCGGGATGCTGAGACGCTGCTGTCGGACTTCCACAGAGATGCTGTGAGATTTTTGGTCCTGTGGCATCTTGCCTGCTATCTTACGCTGACTGCAGTTGTTCACCGAGAATTTGTCAAGTATGCTGCACAACGAGCAGGGTCGGCTGAAGCTGAACAGGCTGGCGGAAGCTCTTCGGAAAGAGTTTTCCAAGTACATCGTGTTAGCGCAGAGTGAGTCAGCCATACAATGCGCTGTTCTTGTGGAAGTTCTGACAGGGAACAACAGGATATGAATCCCAACAGCTTCAAACGCAAGCGACGATCCAAGAAATACCTTGAGACGATAAGGTGAAGAAGCGGGGCAGGGGAATCTGTAGATCATATTTCTTGTACACAATATGCACTTTAATGTGAAATAGTGAATGAAATGCAAGATCATATCAACATACAAGTTCAACAGGATAGTGATTCTTGGCCGCTCTCAGACTCCATTCTCTGTCTTCACCACCACCTGCTCATCATGTCCAAGTCAACCCCAGCTGAAGACCAGGTGACAAACACCCACCTGAGAGTTGGGAGTGATGTTGCAATACTCCGCTGGTGGCAGGTGCACGCCAGGGCGGATGATAGGGAGAGGGATCTAGTTCACTAGGTATCAGCCCAGCACGACCCCAGCTACAACGTCAACGTCGGTGTCTCACCGCATTCTTCGCCTTGGCGATGTCGATCATGAACTCGCGGGGAGGAGGCTGGCTGAACTGCCTGCAGCGAGTCGATCAGAATGAGATGGACAACTAGGAGAGGAGGAGGGAGCGAGGCAGGGCTGCTGGTGCCGCACCCGTTGAGCTTCGTCTGGATCGCCAGCCTGACGTCGTCCAGGTCGAGATCAGTCTTCTGAGCGTGCTCTTGATACACGGTCGCATCCTTTGTTCAACTCAGTGAGGTAGAAGGTTGGAGGTAGCGGGGGAAGAGGCAGCGAGGCAGAGCAGGACAGGATGAAGATGGTGAAGACGACGGTGAGACAAGAGAGGGAGTAGAAGATGACGATGAGTGGAAGGGGAGAGGGAGAGAGATGAAGAGGAAGGAGGTGGGCAGGGGAGGGAGAGGGGAGGGAGAGGTGAGTTGATGGGACTGTGGAGAGCGAGCGAGCGAGCGAGCACAACAAAAATTGCTCACTTTGAGGACATCAGTCATGTACTTGTATGCGAACTCCAACAACATCTGAGTGACCTGCAGAAGGAGCATGTCAGATCAGCAACCATCCGTCCTCCTCCGCATGCGGCAGCAATGGCCCACCTTGGGGTCGTGGTCATCGACCCCCATGGAGGTAAGGAGCTGCTTTATCATCTCGATCCTCGCTGGCGTCTCGATCGTCGAGGCGTCTGCGCTACCAGCGTTCGTCGCCATCCCACAAGAATCGAGCAGAGAAGTTTAAGTTGATGTCCTGCCCCTCAGGCTCAATCAAGTCCGCTCGGAACTTGTGGGAGGAGAGGAGGGCCAGGGAGAGCAGGGGAGGCAAGGGGGAGCATCAGGGAGCGGGAGCAGCAGGGAGCAGCAGGGACGGGGGGAACAGGTTTGCAGCTGAATATCTTGATGATCTATCAACCCTTCTACGCATCTTTCCCTACATAATCCTGCATATCCTCCTCTCCTCCTCTCCGTCCTCTCATGTTCCTCCTCCTGATCGTCCTGTTCCTCCTCCTGTTTCTCCTCCTGATCGTCCTGTTCCTCCTCCTCCTCCTGTTTCGCCTCCTCCTGATCGTCCTGTTCTTTCTTCTCCTCCTGTTTCTCCTCCTCCTGATCGTCCTGTTCCTCCTCCTCCTCCTGTTTCTCCTCCTCCTGATCGTCCTGTTCCTCCTCCTCCTCCTGTTTCGCCTCCTCCTGATCGTCCTATTCTTTGTTCTCCTCCTGTTTCTCCTCCTCCGGCTCCCCTTCCCCTCCTCCTGTTCCTCCACTGGCATACCTGCCCATGCCGCGCCGCTCCTTTCACCCACCCACCCACATCTTTCTCTGCAGAAAAGTATAAATGGTAGGGGTGATCGCGGGACCGCCTCAGAGCCTGTCGGGATGCAGTGCAAGCGGCCGACAGTACCTGACGATGAAGAACATGGTGAGGAGAGGAGGAGAGGAGGAGAGGAGGAGAGGAGGAGAGGAGGAGAGGGGGAGAGGAGGAGAGGAGGAGAGGAGGAGAGGAGGAGAGGGGGAGAGGAGGAGAGGAGGACAGAAAAGGTATGTCAGTATCAGATTAAATAGAAATCCTTTCTCATTGCATACCTTTGCAAACTTCCATTGACTTCGGGCAGAAATAAAGAGGAAGGTGAGCTTGGGGGACCGAGCATTCTTCTACTCACTGTCTTCGCTCCCCATCGATGAAGATCGGGAGAGAGAGATGGAGAAAGTTCGTCTCCCATGCATGTACACGTGTCCCTTGACCTCGTTTCGACAGATCTCCATGGTGGTGACCGCTGAGTCTTACGGATCCGCGCACTGGGACAGGGTGAGCAGAAAGAAGGGAGAGGACGAGTGGAGGGGGAGGGGAAGAGAATGAGAGAGGAGAGAGCGAGGGAGGATAGAGCGAGGGAGAGAGGGACGGAGGAGAGAGGGAGGGAGGGAGGAGAGATGGAGGAGGGGAGGAGGAATAGGAGCACAGTTTGACCTGCATGCGTGCTCTCTCAGGGGAGCTACGTGTGCTCGCGGTGCTCCAACGTACTCTTCTCCTCCCAGGACAAGTTCAAGGGCCCCTGCATCTGGCCGAGCTTCAGGAGAGCAGCGAGGGAAGATTCTGTTGAGGAGAGGGACGCTGCAGGGTACAACGGGTACACGTGTGCGACTGTAGAGCTCTACTGCTATCAGTGCAAGTTGTTCCTGGGGTAAGATAGCGGAGATGTGTGGGGGGAGGATGAGAACGAGGAGGGGAGGGGAGGGGAGGGGAGGGGAGAGGAGAAGAAAGATGCGATGTGTGGGGAGAGGATGAGAACGAGGAGGGAAGGAAAGGGGAGAGAAGGGGAGAGGGGAAGAAAGATGCTTACATGCTTGCAGGCACAAGTTTGAGGATGGGAGAGAAACTGGGGACGAGCATGTCGATGCACGGTGGAGATGTTGCATACTGACGCTGTCCCTGTGCTTCCAAGGAGACGAGAGCAGAGAAGGATAAGATGATTGAAGAGAAGTGAAAGAACAAAGGGATGGAGGTGGGAAGGACTCGACCAAGATATGGTTCTGAATGATGCTACATTACGAGACGAGGAATCATGGGGAGAAGGGGAAAGGGAAAGGACAGGAGGAGATGGGCAGTCGGAGGGAGGGAGGGAGGGAGGGAGAAGGCAGGAGCTGGCAAGGACGGGAGAAAATGATAAGGAAGGGAAGAATGGAGGGTGAGCAAGAGGATAAGTACGAGGAGAGGACTAGGGCGGATGGAAGGAATGAAGGCGAGGAGGAGGAGAGTCAGCTGGCTGGACCTGCTTGGTGGAATGCTGTTGTGCGATTTGCGGACAAGGAACTTCGGGTCCACATGTATCACAAATCGTTTACTCGCGCCATGCGATTACACATCCCAATCCTTCTTGTTCGAAGTGTAGGGAGACTGAGAAAGAGCAGAGCAGAGCAGAGCAGAGCAGAGAGAAGGAGAGGAGAGGAGAGGGGAGGAGAGTCAGTAAATGTTTGCCAGAAAGCATTCGTATTCTCACCCTGGGGAAGCGAAGCTCCTCAAGAGTGAAGAGAGGCTCGTCCGACTTGACCGCGCTGGTCCCTGTCAAAGATGTTAGTTCAACCTCCTCCTCCTCCTCCTCCTCCTCACCAGAGTTGCTCTTGAGCTTCTCTGTGCCGAACGCCGGGTGCTTCAAGATGTTCTGCCTGCAAGGTCGTCGGCAACAGGAAGCAGCAGCATGACAGGGCCTCACAGCAGGTAGGTTCCTCTGAGCGCGCTAGTCAGAGGGAGATGCCCCTTCTTGGCATTCTTCAAGTCGTAGACGAACTGCAGCACAGGGAAAAGTCAGCCCTCCTGCCCCCTGCTCCTTCCTCTCTCCCTCCCTGCTCCTTCCTCCCACCCCCCTTCCTGCTCTCGTTCAGCTCCATCTACTCCTTACCTACCCTCTTCCCTCGCCGACTGCGAATCTCTCTTAACTCTGACTCCCACTCCCTCCTCCCTCCTTCGTCCCTGCCCCTCTCTTCATCCTCGTCGCTCCGTCTACCCTGTCGCCTCGCCTCGCCTGATACCTCCCACCTCCCCATTCCCATTCACTTCCTCTTCTGACCTCGTTGCCTTTGGCTCCGATGGCCGTCCATCGCTTAAGCGTCCCCGTGCAGCCAGAGCAGATGGCGTCGCATCCCCCACAAGGTCCCTGAGTCCATCCAATCTCCTGCAGAGAGAACCAGCATGAGTGTGAGGGAGGAGGAGGAAGATAAGGAAGGGAAGAGAAAGGGAGGAGGGAAGGGAGAGTAGAAGCGAGAAACTCTCACACACCTGAACGAACAAGTTGAAGTCTCCCTTGACCCTGACGGAGTTCCAGATCTGTTTCTGCACGGAGTAGCCGAACTTTCCTTCACTGAACGTCGTCCACAGGCGGTCGATTGTCTTCATGTCCTTGGCAGGCAGCTTCGAGGCCTCAGAGAAGTACACGAATCCCCTTTTCCTAGTATTCTCCCCACCAATCCAAATCAGCATGTCACGGGTGATCTGGTCGGCCTCCTCCCACTGCCCGAGCTTCAGGGCCGTCAGGAGCGGGACGTAGTCAGCGCCGCACTCAGTCTCGATGACGGGGTCAGCGATCTCCTTCATGGCGTCCCCCGCCGCCTTGGTCTCAGTTGCGACGCTGGGCTTGCTCTCCGTCTTGTCCACCGCCATGGTCATGGCATAGTGCGTCCTCAGCGAGGGAGTCCTGACGTCCTGAGGACGGATGGACGCTGCCTGCTGCCTGCTGAGGGAGTGCACGACAGGAGAGCTCAGGGAGAAGCCATGAGCGGAAGCTGAGAGGGCAAGCACGCAGAAGGAACGGAGCATCCACATTCTTCGATCCACGGCCTCGACGGGAACTTTGGGTGACTGGAGTGACTGGGGAGGGGGGGGAAGAGGATGCTGCCTCTTTCCTTGGGATCAGATACAGCTACTGCTCGGTCAGCGGACCTGCACACCAAGAAAGACATCAGTTCCCGTACCCCGCATGCAGCCCTTGTCTTGCTCGCAGGCGAGCAACGTGCTGCTCACATGACCCCTCCCGCACCATCTCTATGAAACTAACAAGCTAGAAATCTCAACTACTTGATCACCACCGCCATCATCATCATCATCGTGGCCACCATCACCGTTATCTTCATCGTCGTCTTCATTCAGCTACACTAGCAGCAGGAAAACTACTCTAACATCCATCACCATCACCACCATCAATCTTGCAGGCGGAGATTGCATACGAAGTAGTTGAGAGAGCCTTTTCGGACTGACTACGCCCTAACGAACTTCTCACTGAAGACATCCTGACTCATCTTGCACAGCTGTATCAATAGCTTGATCCTGGTTTACATTGCTCCATCTCTTGCCCTGGTGCATCCTTTGCGTTCGATCTGTTGTCAGGCTGCTTTCGTGCCTACCACTTCCTCACTCCTTTCTTCATCCACATGGATCTTCAGCTTCCTTTCAACTGCTTCTTCCTGTCGATCGGATTCTTTCTGAATTGTTTTTCATCTCTTTTGATGTATCCTCTTCTTTCCTCAACCCCTGCACATCCACAATCATCCCTTGCATCCTAGCAACAGCGTCAACTACACCTCTCAACTTGTCGCCGAAGCTCATGCCAAGATTGTATCACCAACTTTTTGCTGATGCATCGTACACCTGTCCTCTCTTCAATGCATCTCCTCCCCTTCATCTTCTCGCTACATGGTTCACACTTCGCTCCTCTCCTCTCTCCCTGCCATCCTCTAACAGGAGCATCGAAAGGGGCCGCCTGCTCAGATCCACCCCCCACCCCCCTTTGCTCCTGCGAAGTGCTTAGAAAGAGGGGTGGGGACCGGGTGGGTGCAGATGATTGAGATGATTCTCGTGCAGGGTAGTCAAAGTCCTGAATTGTTAAAGTATATGTTTCAAGCATCAACTTATTTACGAATTATTGACTATGAAATTTAGTAATGATGTTGAAAAGATACCCTCGGCGCAAAATATTTTTAACCTGTCAGGGGTCGAGGCCAAGGTCACAATATAAATGCAAACCATATTTATACATAATTATACATAATTATGATCTTTTCACCATAAACATCGAGTTGTGACCCAAGGTTGCCCCGGTCACGTTACTGGCATGGCCCGCCGGCGGTGACAGCGCGGGGATGTGGCCCGAACAGATGAACTTCGCGCCCGCCTCAGTGATCCTTATTCAGATGTGCTGTAGATTGTGGAGTAAACTATAAATGCAGAACGGTAGATCTATAAATTTGCTATAAAGTGTGCGACACTTCGGTGGAATTACATGGAATTCCGTGCATGTTTATTGGAGGTTTGCAGCAGACATGCAATAAATCTGTTGATTCCAGAAGGATCTGCTATGGAATGGTCCTTTCTTTTTGTTCGATGACACACAATAAAATTTAACATTCTATACATTTCCTATAAACTTTCCCTTGCCAACTTCTCCCGCCTAGTTTGCCAGCGAATGCGCAGGAGCAGGAGCAGCGGCAGGAGCAGCGGCAGGGGCAGCGGCAGGGGCAGCGGCAGGGGCAGAGGCAGGAGCAGGAGCAGGAGCAGGAGCAGGAGCAGGAGCAGGAGCAGGAGCAGGAGCAGGAGCAGGAGCAGGAGCAGAAAGAAAGGGTGACATGGTTTGAGGTTTGGTTCTAATCTCGCTAGCATCACCCCCAGCATCTAAAACGCAATCTCCGTCATCACCATTACCATCACGCACACATTCAGCATGATCTTGGCCAAAGTCTGATTTAAACACACATCACATCATCAGAGTTGTAGTCCTTCAGCAGGTATCTTGGGTGAGATGCATGGAGTCGGTGAGATTGTTCTAGAAACCTAAGTCACGATAAGCGAGCAGAGGCTCTGCCGCCCCTCATTGTTGCAGATGGAAGGAGAAAGGGGTGTCTGAACAGAGCAAGATGTTGAGCAGAGCATGAGTGTTGCTTCTGAAGAACGATATGCTGTCCTTGATACCTCCCTTGACATGTATTGCTGAAGACAGGCAGCAAAATCATGACGGCGAATCCAGAGAAGATCCTGCTCGAACAGGCTGTGGAGATCCTGAGGTCTCGTTACCCGGAGCTCGACTCCATCGTCCTCGGATCCTTCGCGCCAGGAAGGGTGAACGTCATTGGAGAGCACACGGACTACAACGAAGGTTTCGTGTTTCCTATGTGCCTCGAGCTCGGGACGGTAGTCGTGGGAGGACGGGTCCCCAGTGGCCCCTGCAGGTTGTACTCTGCGTCCAAGGACTTGGAGTTCACCTTCGACCTTGACAACGTCAAGGCGATCGCAGAGGATGAGAAGGGAGAGTGGACGAGCTACATCCGAGGTGCGGTCGCGAAATTCATGGAGGGCTATGAAGAGGAAACCAAGACTAAGCTGCCTCCGACGAGTTTCGTGGGCGTGATCGGTGAGGGCTCCATTACTGAACGTGCCGATCCCTTTCCCTTCCTTCTAAAGATCTGTTGAGAGACTCTGATGCTGTTCCTCCTCCTCCTCACCCCCCAATCCGCCATTCTTCTGATCATTTGCGTTGATTCGCAGTTGGTAACATCCCATGTGGCGGGGGCGTCAGCAGCTCCGCCTCGCTGGAGGTTGCGGTGATGACGTTTGTTGAGGAGCTGTTCAACTATCGGTTTGAGGAGGACAAGAAGGCAAGGTTGTGTCAGGCAGCAGAGCGCGAGTTTGCCGACGTCCCATGCGGCATCATGGACCAGCTGATCTCCGTCAAGGGCAAGCACGGGAGCGCGCTCTTTGTTGACTGCCGCTCCCTGGAGACAGTCGCGGTCCCATTGGGGTCAGGGGACATGAAGGTGCTGGTCACCAACTCCATGGTGAAGCATGACCTGCACGGTAGCGAGTATCCTGCTCGAGTGCGGCAGTGCAAGGAGAGTCTGGAAGCGATCAAGAAGCACTTCGGGGTGGAGAAGGCGTTCCTGCGTGATGTGTCGAAAGAGGAGGTGGAGGAGGCGTTCAAGGCCGGGCACATGAGCGACCTTGCATACAAGCGCGCCCTCCATGTCGTGACTGAGAACCAGAGAACGCAGGAGGCCATGCGAGCCTGCAAGAACAAGGACTGGACGTCCCTCGGGAGGCTGATGAATGAGAGTCACGACAGTCTGCGCGACAACTACCAGGTGAGCTGCCCGGAGCTGGACGCGCTCGTGGACATGGCCCGGAGCATGGAGGGCGTGCTCGGGTCCCGCATGACGGGTGCTGGTTTTGGAGGATGTATCGTTTCGTTGGTGCGAGAAAGCAGCGTGGACAGAGTTAAGGAGGAGCTGACGAGGGGGTACAAAGAGAAGTTCCAGCGCGAGTGTATCCATATCGTGTCGGAAGCAGGAGCAGGAGCAAGGCGGGTCGAAATGTCTCTCTTCTATCCTCAGCAGCATGGTCACGAGTGCATCCTGCAAGCAAACCTTCTCAAGGCGCAGGGGAACAAGTACATTGCGCAAGGAGAGACGAAGAAGGCGCTGGAGCGATACAACCGAATACCGCTTGCGATCAAAGGGCTCGTAAAGAACAACAAGTCAGAAGGGGGGATGTCAGCCCTTGGAATGCCCAAGAACAAGGACGAGGAGGCCTTGACAGAGCAGCAGAGGGAAGAGGTACATGCTTGACCAAGGAAGAGCTTCATCCTCTGACATGCTGGAGTGCAGGTGAACAAGTTGTGGCAGCAGGCAAGGGACCTTTCCTCCTATCCTTCTCCATGTGACGTTTGCGTTGTCAGTGCCATATGAATCGAGCTCTGTGCTACGTCAAGCTGGAGAACTGGGAGAAGGGTATAGATGCCTGTAACGAGGTCAGTCTCTTCGCCTTCTGACTGCGTATGCTCATCCTCCTCCCCTTCAGGCTCTCAACTCAGGATCGGACGAATTCAAGACAAGGTGGGCTGCTTCTTGCTTCCTTGCTTCCTTGCTTCCTTGCTTCCTTGCTTCCTTCATCCCCCTCCTCCTCTTGCCCCTTCGTCTGCTCGCCTCTTGATCTTCTCTCATCCTCGATCTAGGTTGCGTCGAGGCAAGTGCTATCGTAAGGTTGGAGAGTTGGAAAAGGTACTTTGCTGCCACGTCGTTTTCCTTTCCCAACCCCTCTGGTCATTCCCTAACTTTAACCTGACTCAAAATGCCTGTCTTTCTGCCCACACCTCCCTTCTTCTCATACTCCCTATACGTTTGTTTCTCTGATCTCCCCTTCTTCCTCGTCCTGCTTGTCTGTCCCATCTCTGGGATTCTCAACTTCTCTCAACATCAGACTCCGGCTCTTCCACCGCTCCTCTCCTCTCACCCGCTGTCCTTCCCAACGATATCGTGGAGTGACTTGGCGCAGGCACGAATGGATCTCGAGTACGTGCTGAGCGTCGATCCGGCAGAGAAGTCAGCGCTGGTGCGGCAGTTGAGAGGGTCAAGGGAGCAGCTGCTGACCTACTGCAGGTCGAGATGAAGGAGCTTGAGAAGAGGCAGAAAGTGCAAGGTAGGAGGAAGGAGTCTGTAAGAGATGTGTGGGTGACTTGTCGTGTTCACACAGACATCAACGCAAAGAGAACGTTCGCCAAGATGTTCGGATAAGGCTTGGGAAACGTCTTGCCATGAAGCGGCCAGGTATCCAGCATAATGCCCGATTCATTAAACTCAAGTGAACGATACAACGACCTCTTCGCTTCTCCCAGCTGCACTCCAGCTCGCGCAGGTTCAGCGCGCAGGGGCCCCCACGGGCGGACCCGAGAGCCCAACAATTCTCCTCCTGGTCTCTTCAAATCTCAAATCTTCCACCTCCAATCCTTCAACCTCGTATCCACAGCCCTCCCTATCCCTCATCCTGCCGTCTCTGGTTCGACATTCTTGTCTGCGCCTGCAGCGGCAGCTGGAGATTTCAGCCGTTTGAGCAGCTGAAGTTCCTGCTGCACTAGGGTGAGGCTCGCTTGCAGACGTTGAACCTCCTTCTCGGCCTTGAGCGCCCGTTGGTGGAGCTTGACGACTGACTTTGACTCCAACCCAAGTTCCATCAGGTTGCCCAGGTCTCGCTGCTCGCAGCGAGGAATCACGCGCAAGCAAGCGACAGACTCGTTCCTGATAAGACCGAAGAGGAGCGGATGCCTCACGATGTCGCTGGCGGACGGCCGATTCATAGGGTTGGGGTCGAGGAGAGATTGGATGAGCGCCTGGAAGGGAGGAGAAAGAGAGGGAGGGAAGTCCACCTTGCCATCTCGAATTCTGTGATAGTCCGAACCTTCTGTGGGCAACGGTGTTACAGACGCTAACTCGACGACAGAAACTCCCAGCGCCTGAAGAAGCAGGTCACAAGGTCAAGTCTCAACGTCAGGAGAAACTTACAAAGATGTCAGCCTTGAACAGATCGCAAGACTCACTGTGCTGCAGCATTTCTCTACTCAGGTAGCGCTTGTCGCCCTCTTCATCGTGTGTTCTCAGGTCGGCACTGCATGCTAACCCGAGATCTCCGAGCTTGAACATTCCTCTTTCAGTGGTGTAAATATTTTCGGGCTTCACATCAAGGTGTGCTATCTTATGGGAATGCATGTATGCAAGTCCTGTAGCAACTTGCACCAAAAAGTCCTTCAGATATTCTTCATGGAGAGGTCCATTCTTTTGGCGAACATGCGCCACAGTTCCTTGGCATAATTCTGTTTGTATGTACAACTTGTTATCTTGTTCCCAAGCATTGAAATATCTGACGACATGAACGTTGTCTCCTTGAGTTGACAATGCATAAATCTCACGAAGCAATCTCTCCCTTTCTCTCTCATTTTTAAATTCTCGTATTTCCTTCACAGCATATTTGCACAAATCAATCTTCCTGGTGCAACTGTAAACTTTTCCGAAACAGCCACTTCCAATTTCTTTAAAGTCACAGAAGTCATTGAGAAAGGACCGAAGGGTAAGAGGTGATGAGGTGAACGGGGTGGCTTCAGTGTATGGAGAATACCGAGAGCTGAAGGGGTTCTGCCTGAGTCTATTCCCAGCAACATCCTGCATCATCTGACCGCGATGCGTGCTTGTATCGGGAACTGGCGCACTTTGACGCCTTGTAGACGAAGTTGGGACTTGCCATGTATTGTTCACAGCATTGACCACGTCACTGCCAGCTGGTTTGGAATTCTCTGCATCATGCACTCCAGGAATGAAAAGTCTCTGTGGGTGTAGGGGAGAGTCGGAGTGAGAGGGAGATGGTGGGCGAAAACGCCTGATGGCATTTGCTGTCTGCATCGTGCTGAGCATCGAACTGTTGTTTCCTGAACCCGATGAGGTGTCAAGGCTCGATCCCGGCGAGGATTTCTGTTCGAGATGCTTTTTGCCACGTCTTGAGTCTGGCGAGGACAAGACGACGTGGCGATGCCTGCGGTTCGGGGAAGGAGAGTTGGAGGAGTCCAGCGTATCGATCTGAGCTGCATGATGGCCGTTGGGAGACACGTTGCCTGACTCGAACCTCTCCTCAGTGCTGAGGTCAGAGCCGATGAAGTTGCCATCCGACGCTCCACTCAGGTCGAGCATACCGAGGGACAGTCGACCTCCCTCCCCCAAGATGGATGAAGACTCTCCCTTGTCGCTCGAGATCTGGTCGAATCGGAACAGCTCTCCACTGGTCCAGTTGACGTCTGAGAGCCGTGTTAGTGCAATGCTACGAGGAAATGACGTAAATTTGCCTTCAGGGTCTTCACCGTACGGTGCGATTCCCGACTCAAAGTCTCTCCTGAGCTTTTTCCATGGAGATCTTGGTGGCAGAGGAGCTGGAAAAGGAGACATGGCCATATCCTGCCCCAATTCTAGTTAGAAGGATTCCTGACAAAGAACTAGCGGGCAAACGCACCTCCAATCCACCTCGCCCTTCAGGTATAGGAGTTCGCAGATCAGATGGAGAGTCCATGATCATGTGGTCATTGTACGGTGAAGAGGAGACGTCTCCTTCTTCATTAAAATGTTCCTTGGGGATACTTACAAACATGATGCACGGCAAGTTCTGAAGGTGTGCGATCTGTCACAAGCACTGACACAGCTCAGAGGACTACCCAGTGGCCAGGGCGCGGGGCCACCTGATACCAACGAAAACAAGTGAGACAGGGCAAGAAAGGGAGCTCAGTCGTAATATCTTGATACACTAACATCGTTTCTGGTGTGTTTGTTCAAGCTTTGCGGGCGTATGCAGCACATCACGTTGAGAAAAATCAAATTGGTTCGAAATGGCGTGTGTCCATTGCAACCATGAGGCGGCCCTTCTGAAAAATGCAGACACAAGAAAACCGAACGAAACGGATGAGATAGAATGAGAGCAGCAAATCAATGGATGTGCCTACTGTCAGAAGAACCCCTCCTCCTCGTCCTGCATCCTCAGCAGGGACAAACCTCTCCACTTGCCACTTTCCTCCGTCTCCTCCAAGACATCTCCCCCGAGATCATCCTCATCACCACTGATCTACAACTCTCCTCCTCCTGGATTTTCTGTTTTCTCCTGCTTCTTGCTCCCTGCCGCTCTTCCTTTCTCATCCCCCCACTGATGCCATTGGCTTCTGCCCGTCCCCGCCATCTCCACGCCTCCGGAACCCACCCCTACCCTTCGAGCCCCCACCCCCATTGATTTTCAAGTCCCGAATACCACCATGTAAAAAGTGATTGGATCTGACCCCTACCTCATATTAAATTGACCCTACCTCAATATTTAACAAAATTGAATAACAAACCGGTACTTTAAAGAGTATTTTTGAGATTTTAAGGGGGTACTGTGATCTTGTACCGGTCATGAAATATATTGCACCCTAGAATTCACAACAGGTACCCCACCATCACCCCGTCAACTTATTAAATTCTATCCTCCACCCCCAGCAAACATACCACCCCAGGTGATTAGTATTTGCTACCCTCTCCCTCCGATACGGCCTTCTCCACCACTTCATTACCCTACCCCTGTATATTACTTTTCATCAGGGAAAAGTACCCGGTTCTAGGTGACGACCATCTACTACCCCACCCATCCTTCGTTTCCCTCCAAGCTGTCGAGACGCCACAGCCAGGTTCCTTTAAAATATTATTCATTGTTTTAGAGATATAAAATATTCTTCAGGTACGGCAAATATCTGAAAAACAATTATTATTCGTTGGCATCAGACATCCGCCAGGACAAAATCAGAGAAAACTAAAATCCAAATTTTAACTTAAAAACCAAAATAAAAGTCTAGTACAAATCGAGCCCGGGCAACCGGGCCGGGCCCGGCCGGGCCCGGTGACCCGTCACCCGTGACCCGGATGATATCTTTTTTTCAGCGGCTGGTGCAGTGCCGGAAAAATGTTGCCCGCTGGCATGATGGCAGCACTGCCGGGCATGCTGTCGGACGGTTCTAACATTAGTCAGTGACCGACTGAGTAGTGGCTGCCAGGATCAGTGACTGCTCAGCTCAGCGGCTCCCTGCGAGTCAGCCGACGGACCGTACCATCCGGCGGCGTCGGACTCTCATCGCCTCAGGCTGCTGCACCAGGCTGCCTGCATCTCCTTCCCCTACGATATCTACCAGCCCTCAGTTTTCGGTTAAAGTTTTACGCCGGTAGCTCGCCCTCTCCGGCGAATCTGCCGCTACTCCGTCGCCGTCTGCCAGCCCACCTTCGCAATGCGTCGACGACAACGGACTGTCAGTGTGGTCCAGCAACCGTACCACTGCAAGCTCCCGGTAATGTTTGGCATGCCGCTCCTGATCATCCTCCACCTTCATGGTGTCAGCGGCACCAGTACGACCAACATCTGTCAGTGCCCTTTGAATTGGAATCCGGTGTGTGGAACTGGCGTGGTCGCGCCCAAAGTGACCTTCGTGAACGAGTGGTGAGATGAGATTTCATGTATCAACCATGTTGGATCTTTGACCGTGAGTTGCAGTTTCTCCAAGTGCTCCTGTTCTTTCGCTGAGCGGAGTACGTGTGATGTGATGCAGGGAGAGTGTCCGCTTGTAAACCAGAGCAAGGCGTGCCCCAACCTTCCCTTGAATCTGGACATCTCCTCCGCATACCTTGAGTGGTCCAAAAATCCAAGCACGTTCAATCTGGTGGTGGACGTACGGACAGCTGAGGAGTACGTAGGGGAATCAAAGAACAACAAGATTGGTCACATCCCAGATGCAATCCTTGTCGAGTCTCTGGTCGACAATCCTTCGGCTGCCGACATGCTGCTTCCTTGCAAGAATGTTGCCATGCTCGTGGTTTGCCGGACTGGTGTACGGTCGTTGGCAGCTGCCGATATCTTGCGACAGAAAGGGTACCCCTGCGTGTTCAACATGGATGGAGGCACACTAGCATGGAGCCAAGCAGGATTTCCAACAGTGAAGGGGATTTCAAACACCACCAGCGTTCTTGCCAGTTGCAACCAACCAGGACAACATGTCTGGAGTCAATCCAAAGGTGCTGGAGCTGTGGTTGGTGGGATGTGGGTCGAGGAGGGTCGGTACCGCTTACTGTCTTCGGTCTAATCCATTCTTTTTCACAGGTCAGAAGATTGGAGCCAACCGCATGATTGGGCTGTTCTCCGGATTTCTAGTGCTCTGGAAGATCCTACTTCTTTTGTAAGCTGGAAGATGTTCAGTTTCTCATTGCATTGAAAGGGTCGTGACAACTTTTTGGTTTGTTGGATTTTAAAGAAAAAATAGATTGAAAACGTGTAACTGTGCCGCAAACACTCGCAAAACATCAGCATTCGTTGAGTGAGTCCTATGTGACAGCAGAATTCAATCGCGGAATATTTCCGAATGCCGCTGGAATCTTCAAAGACTTTCGAACAAGCAAGGAACTGAATGCACCAGGTTAGAAGTGCAAACATCGAGAGGATGATGAAGAAGAGAATTTACAACTCTCACCTCTGAGAAGATCCTGTCATCCCGTTCGCTCGCATGATGTCATTGACCTGTCCCATTCAGAGTTAGTGCAACGACTGATTCAATGAGATATTACAGTAACTCGGTACTTCAGCGCAAGGGCTGATAGGGTGTCGTCGCGAGAAACATTGTGCATGATGAAGTTCGAGTCTGAGTTGGAGGTAGATCTGTTGGTAGGCTGTTCATGTGACGTCACTTTCACATCCGTCGATTTCGCCCCAGGCTCTGGAGATTTGGTTGGCTGACTACGGTTTACGTCAACAGAAGCCATAGCTGACGCACTGTAGTGCAGATAAGTGCGTGTGAACGTCCCGTAATTCCTCTGACTGCTCCAAAGTGGCTTGATTTCGTCCTCCGTCTTCCAGTCTACAAGTTTTCCCAAGGTTTCAGAGTCCTCGTCTTCATCGAGATCGCCCCTTCGAGTTGCCACAGGACGTGATTGATCATCACCAGCATTAGAGCATGCTTTCGTTCTCCTTGAACTTGATTCAGGCCGTTTATGATTGTTTGCATGCTTAATGTCGTCAAAAGTCCGCGCGATGCCTAGCCTCACATGCTTGCTGGGCGAGCTGGCTTCCTTCAAGGCCGATATCGCCACAGCATTCTCAGCAGATGAGCCACCGAGAAGAGTATTTGAAAAATTCATGCTGGTTGAAAGCAGGGACTGAAACAGCATACTGACCTCACCTTGCGCAAGCTGAGCTCCGTCAATCGCACAAGTGCCGTTGACGGTCAGCACTTTTTCAAAGGAAAATGTCGTTCAGGCCTGTTTGAATGAGAAATATCAGTATAATACGAATCAAAAGTATCCAATATTCATCACAACAAAGTTACTTCAAGAGATAAGATAACTGGTATGATGATGATTCGCGGATCACGAGGAAACGATCAAAAATGCACATTGGAGCTGTAACAATAAAAAAAAAATCCTACCACTCGGGAGACAGACACAACCTCAACCAAGAGAAGAACTTCACTTTCAATTGATCAGCAAGAATCATCAGAAGTAGATCTCTATTTCTGCACATTGACTCTTCTCCTTCACATCTCTTCTCTCCCACGCGTCTGAGCAGCATCTCAATTTCTCACCGCCATGGCGTCGCTTGGTATTTTGAGGAAAACCCACCCCCACCCCCCATATCCAACCACTACCCCCATGGAGGAAGTCTGCATTGACCCCCTCTGTTTACACCGACCACCCACCCTATTTCACCGCCATGTTCATTGTTGCATGTTCTGCCTTGTATGAAATTCAAAGTCTCTTTACTCAAAGTTAAGTTAAAAATCAGTACGAGACTATTCCGATCAGTGCCGGCCCCTGCAACCGGCGCACTGGCAGAGGAACCGTTTGTTCCGAGCCGGGGTGGCCGGGCCGGCCCAGCGGCGGCCGGGCGGTCACCGGGTCGCCGGGTGACTCAGACGGTCACGGTCCGAACTATCACTGATCGTCGCGATGATCCGAGACTGCCCGCCAGCTGCTGCGGCAGACTCTGCGATTCAGTACTACTGAGTACCGGGGCCCGGCCTAGTACCGGCGTGGGCCGTCAGCACGGTCGCCGGGGCCCGGGCCGGCCCGGAGAGGCCCAGCGGCCCGGCCGGCCCGGCGCCGGGCTGTCGGTCCGATCACTGAGGAGTCCGAGTGTCAGAGTCACGGTCACGGTATGACTTCATGCTTTGGAATGTAGGGGTGGAATGAAATACCACCCCTACATTTGAAGGGAAATATTTGCTGATCCTCATAGAAATGGAGGGGTACCCACTTCTCGTGTAGGGGGTCCGGGTGTATGTTGAAAGTTTAGTCAACTGCCACGAGCGCTCCTCTGTGGACGATGGCGGGAGGAGGGTTGGGACGCAAGGAGCGATGGAGCAGAGGGGGGGTGGGGAGAGATGCTAGATCAGGAAGGTGCCATGATCAAGATTGAGATCAAGGGCGGTCCTGTGGGATGGTAGATCAGGACAAGTGTCGGGATCAAGATTGGGATCGGACACAGGAGGAAGGGCAGGAGCGGATTGGAAAGGAAATGTGAAGGTGTCAAGGGAAAATCAATAGGAGCATTGGTATCACGTGCATGGTTGTAATCAAATCGTATGATAGTCTTGAAATGGCATCAGGTGTGTAGGAAGGAAGGGGAGATGGGTGGCTTTGGGAAACGGGCAGGGATAGGAGTTTAGTACTAGGAAAGTTTTAGCAATAAGAAGGATCAACGAATAGACGGCATTTCAAGTCAAAGACTGTAAGGGAAGGGAGCAATTTCTTCACAACAAAAATGAAAATTCAGGCTCAGTGTAGACTTGGAAAGTTGTCTGATTACCATGGTACCACGACTTCGATGCCTGACGGTGACTTTGCAGGGTGGGTCGCTCGCCAGTCAGTAGCACTGTCATCTGAGGAGCGTTTGTTCGCTCACTCTTGTGTGATAATCGATCTTAGGACTTGAGCGCAGCAGAAGATGTTCCTCTACGCCCTTACTCTCCAACGGTCTGGTGCGATTACATGCACTGCCTACGGAAACTTCTCGGCTCCGAAGCAGCATGAAATCGTGATTTCTCACGGGAAGACATTGGAACTGATCAGGCCCGATCAGAATGGAAAGATTCAATCTATCTGTCAGATGGAATGCTTCGGCTTGATTCGCTCAATGGCTTCCTTCAGATTGCCGGGTTCAAACAAGGATTACCTTGTTTTAGGTGCGGATTCTGGTAGAATTTCTGTTTTAGAGTTCAGCAAAGAAAGGAATCAATTTGAGAGGGTTCACTTGGAGACTTACGGCAAGAGTGGGTGTCGTCGCATTGTTCCAGGACAATTCTTGGCGTCAGATCCGAAGGGACGTGCAGTTATGATTAGCGCCATTGAAAAACAGAAACTTGTGTATGTTTTCAACAGAGATGCTTCTTCAAAGCTAACCATCTCTTCACCGCTCGAAGCCCATAAAGCCTCTACAATTCACTTCTCTATCGTTGGTGTTGACGTCGGCTTTGACAACCCCATTTTCGCTGCGCTCGAGATGGATTACTCAGATGCAGATGCAGATGAGACGGGCCAGTCAGCAGAAGAATTCAACAAAGTTTTGACATTTTATGAGCTCGACTTGGGTTTGAACCATGTTGTTCGCAAAGCGAGCGAACCGATCGATGCGGCCTCGAACATGTTGATTCCTGTTCCAGGAGATACGGATGGACCCAGTGGAGTGCTTGTTTGTGCTGAGAATAAGATTGCTTACAAAAAGCCCGATCATGAAGATGTTGTTGCCCTGATTCCTCGACGCCAGGGTATGCCGTTGGATCAACCACTTCTCATCACAGGATATTCTCACTTGAAACAGAAGGATGGATTTTTCTTTCTCTTGCAGAGCGAAATTGGCGATCTCTATCGTCTGACGTTGACTTACAATGATGAGGAAGTATCGGAAATCAATATCACATACTTCGACACGGTGCCTGTTGCCCAATCGATCACTATCCTCAAGACAGGATTCTTGTTTGTTGCTTCTGAATTCGGAAATCACGCCCTATATCAATTCCTGTCCATCAAAGGAAGCGATGAATCGGACATGATGCCTGTCGAAGTCGAAATTGAAGGAGAGACGATTGAAATTCCCCACTTTGCGCCTAGACCCTTGAAGAACCTGCTGCTTGTGGACGAGATGGAGTCATTGTCCCCGGTGATTTGACCTGTTTTGAACTGTTTATTGGTATCTAATTCTTTTCTTCCCTGTAGATTTTGGACATGAGGGTTTTGGATCTTGCTGGAGAAGAGACACCGCAAATCTATGCGCTCTGTGGAAAAGGCCCAAGATCGACTCTTCGTACCCTACGTCATGGTCTTGCAGTGGCTGAAATGGCTGTGTCTGAGTTGCCTTCTAATCCGCTTGCTGTGTGGACTGTCAAGGGCAGCAGCAAGGATGCGGCAGATAAGTATATTGTAGTCACGTTTGCAAACGCAACCATCGTTCTCTCGATCGGAGATACTGTTGAAGAGGTAACCGATAGTGGGTTCTTGGCAACCAACAAGACTTTATCAGTGTCGCTTCTTGGCGATGACTCGCTACTTCAAGTTCATCCCAACGGACTTCGAACTGTGCGCTCGGACAAGCGTATCAGCCAGTTCACCCCGCCGAACAAAGGCGTCATCAACTTGGTTGCTGTGAACCAACAACAAGTTGTTGTCGCTCTTGCCGATCACACGATGATTTATTTTGAACTGGATGCCGTCGGCCAATTGCAGGAGAAGGCAAAGCCTGAGATCGGAGGAGGACAAATAGCCGCACTGGACATCTCTCCTCTAGGGGCCGGACGCAGCAGAGGAAGGTTTCTTGCGGTTGGAGCTTCTGTGGATGGAAGCTGGTTCGTAAGAATCCTCTCGCTGGATCCTGGAAGTTTCATGCACATAGTTTCTCGTCAAGCCTTGCCTGCCAAACCCGAGTCACTCTGTTTGATTGAAATTTCTATTGGAGCTGCTCAATCTGATGGTGGCACACCTACTCTTTTCCTCTTCGCTGGATTGGAAAATGGTGTTTTGATGAGGATTACAGTTGATCCAATCACTGGTCAGCTGGCACCCGAGTTTCGAACTCGTTTCCTGGGTACAAAGCCTGTCAAACTTTTCAAAGTTTTGGTACAAGAGCAGCCTGCCGTCCTCGCTTTGTCTTCTCGGTCTTGGTTGGCGTACAACTTCCAAGGTCGGTATCAGATCACGCCCCTGTCATATGAGACCCTGGAGTATGCTTCTGGTTTTGCCTCGGATCAGTGTCCTGAGGGTTTTGTTTGCGTTGCTGCCAACACCTTGAGAATCTTGACGGTTGAAAGGCTTGGAGAGGTGTTCAATCAGCATTCGATGAAACTTTCGTTCACACCTAGAAAAAGCGCACTGCTGAAGGACAGCGGATGCTTTGTTGTCCTGGAGACTGATCATAATTCTGATATGGAGAAGGCCAAAGAAGCGCGTTGTGATGTTGCTGAGGACGAAGAAGAAGAGAATGAGAACAAGCTCCCTCACTCCATTTACGGAGAGCAGGTATGAAACTTTTTTTTTTTTTTGTTCCTTCCGGAGTCCAGCCATGGTGCTCTGTGCTGACTTGTACCCGCAGCGTGCTGGAGAAGCAAAGTGGGCTTCACGTGTACGTGTGATTGATCCCAATGAGAGGGAAACAAAGCAAATCATCGAACTCGATCCCAACGAAGCTGCGCTGAGCGTGTGTGTAGCAACCTTCTATGACAGGAAAGGACATACTTTCTTGTGCTTCGGAACTGCTGTTGGACACAAAGTTGGCAGCCGAACTGGTTCAGGATTCCTGCACACGTATTCAGTTGTTGGCTCACAGCTTACCTTTGTTCATAAGACTCCCATCGATGGCGTTCCGAGAGCTTTGTGCAGCTTTCAGGTGAGAGCGGCTATGCTGATGGTTGTTGTGTAACCTGCTTGCAGGGTCGCTTGCTTGTCGGGGTCGGTTCAGCTCTGCGACTCTATGAAATGGGAAAGCGAAAGTTGTTGCGAAAATGTGAAAACAGAAACATCCCCAACCTTGTGGTGACGATCAGCACCATGGGAGACAGGATCTATGTCGGAGACGTCGCAGAGTCCATCTCCTTCCTGAAGTACAATAGGATACTCAATGAGCTTGTCATATTCGCCGATGACACCCACCCGCGATGGATGACGGCAGCTTGCCCAGTCGACTATGATACTGTTGCTGGAGCAGACAAGTTCGGCAACATCTTCCTGACCAGGCTTCCCGACAACGTGTCCGACGAGATCTCTGAAGAGCCTGGGGCAGTTGGGATGTTCGAGGGGAATGACCTGCAGGGGGCGCACTACAAGGCGGAGGAGATCGTGCAGTATCACGTGGGAGAAACAGTATGTAGCTTACAGAAGGCTACCCTGTCTCCTGGTGGCTCCGATGCTATCATCTATGGGACGATGTACGGAGGTATCGGGGCTCTCCAGCCGTTCGTGAGCCGCGAGGACGTGGATTTCTTCCTCCACCTTGAGATGCACCTTCGAGGAGCCGCCGGAGCAAGGGAACACAAGCCAGCAGGAGAAGGGTGAGTGGGCCGACCCGCATGCTCTTGTCCGCCGTTCGGTCCTCGTGATCCCTGGTCGCAGGTATGATCACCCGAGCATCTGTGGAAGGGACCAGCTCTCCTTCCGCTCCTACTACTTCCCCGTCAAGGACGTGGTGGACGGCGACCTCTGCGAGACTTTCAATTACTTGAGCCCGTCGCGACAGAAGCAGGTACCCTCTACCGCTCTTGATGGTACGGATGTTGACTTGTGCTGACTTGTGTGCAGATCGCGGAGGATCTCGACAGAACGCCGGGAGAAGTGGCCAAGAAGCTCGAGGATATGCGGAACAGGCTGCTCTAGAGCATATCAGGACTGTTGGGAGATGATGATAACCTGTCAAGAGTCTTGGATGAAGATGCTGGGGTTGCCGAGCAAGTGGGAGGAGCCGGTGGAGGTGGGAAGCTCTCAAGTCCCGCCCGTGCGATCTTGAAAGAGAAGTCCCTCCTGCTTCACGTTGCTAGGACGTTGATGATTGGGACGGGAGTTGCTGTGTAAGCGACATGATGCAAGCTAGGTTTATGGAGACAACAAGCATGAAATTTTAAGAAGAAGAAATGCGACGACATTCTGAAATGTCCTGCTCGCTCGTGCTCAAGAGCCTCTTTTTCAGCTTGTCCGACGTCCTCTACTTCACCGTTCTTGCCTTTCATCCCCCTCTCGTTCTCATTGAGCGCTGTCAAACTTTGCAATGTCGCTCTACCCCGTTCTGCCCCTCTCCCTTCCCCTCACACAAATTACACATCTCCCATCTTCATTGCGCCTCCAAATAACCTGCTCTCCTCGTCATGACCTAGTCCTTGTTTCTTGTCAATCATCGCTGCAGCTTCTGCCTCCTGCTTTCCCTTGGCTCGAATATCCTCATTCCTTCCCTTTTCCTCATTCCCTCCTCCCTCCTCGAAACTCTGCGTGCACATCACTTTACATGTTGTAATCTTCTTTCTCTCTTTCTTGAAATGTTTGTTTCTCGAATAGAGGATCCTTCACAGAATTTGCGCTCTCCCATGCTCCCTTGCACGTCTCCATGGAGAATATCGCCTTCTCTGCATCTCCTGTACCATCCTTCTGTGCTGTACCATCCTTCTGTGCTGTACCATCCTTCTGTGCTGTACCATCCTTCTGTGCTCGTCAGCTACCGTTTCTCATCTGCCTGCTCCACTGCCCCACTCTTTCCGTTTCGTCCATCCCCTCCCTCCTCCTCCCCTCCCCTCCCTCCTCCTCCTCCCCTCCTCTCAAGCCGTCATGAGCGATGGTTGTGCAATGCAGACTTCATCATTCTTCAGGGGTGGGGTGAACAAAAGTATAGGTGGGGGTATCAAAATCACCCCTAATTTGACATCAAATAAACGATAAATAAAGGGGTGATATAATCAAAGAGGGGGTGTAGGTCATCTAAAGTGGGGTACCCGCGCTGGGGGCACAAGGCGGATTGTTATGGCAGGACGAAGGGCGGGAAAGATGGCGGCGGCGATGATGTAAGAGGAGGAGGAGGAGGAGGAGGAGGAGGAGGAGGACATGGATGTATGTACTTGAGATGGAGGTCCAGAGTGGGGAGGAAGCGAGAAGAACCTGCGGAGGAAGGAGTGAGAACCCGAGGGGAAGTATGAGGATGGGAAGGGGTAGAGTTGTGTCAGGCACACATTGCGGGACGGGATTGCGAGACGAATGGCTGTGTAGAAGGATGAGGATTGAGCAGAGAGACTTGGGTGAATGCGTTGATGCTCATGAAAGGAGGAGGAGGGGCGGGGCCGTGCAGGGATGGGAGGGTCCCAACGTTGCCGTGCATGACTGCAATGGTTCAGATTTCTGTCGCAGTTTTACTTGATGAGCTCCTCCTCATCGTTCCAGGGATTTCCGTGCTTTCTCAAGGAGACGAGGCAGGCCAGCCATCACCTGTATGTTTTCTGTCTAGAGCGCGGCCATCGAGAGGATGAACTCGAGCCCCCGGGAGACCGTGAGCGGCAGCATGCCAGCCGATTCACGCCATCGCATTGGCTCCACTTGAACTCCCTCGGGCACCTGCGAGGAGGAGGAGATGCAGGTAGATCATACCAGGTGAGCGGATCCTTTCCCTGTCCGTCCCGGACTGACATGGAGGGCAGAGGGATACGCTACATCACGCATCTTCTAGACAATACTCGTCGACGGGTGCACAGAAGGACCCGGTGTCTATGAAGATGGACGCTCCAGGGATGCCACAGCATGTGATGGTTGATCAACAACAAGCAAACATGCAAGGCATGCGGTGGAACCCAACGACTGTATACGGTGAGAACCCTTGCCCTTTGCTATGTTGTTCTCCCTCCTCCCTCCTCCCTCCTCCCTCCTCCTCCTCCCTCCTCCCTCCTCCCTCCTCCCTCCTCCCTCCTCCCTCCACCTCCTCTAAGTTTCGCAATTCATTCCGATGGATCTAGTTCCTCCTGGCACGCGGCAGAGCATGAATCCGCTCCCTATGCAGGTTTTTCCCTCTCACCGGTACGATGTTTCAATTCTGACGTGTCTGGAGACTCGACAGTACCAGTATGGCATGACGCCCCAAAACTACGCGGACCCCTCCCGACAGCCGATGCAGGTCCGTCTAGAGGTGCTAGCGAGTCTCGCAAGCTGATCTTTGGCTTTGAAGAACCCGATGCAAGGACGAGGGATGTATCCCATGGCCTCCAGCTATCCTCCTGCATCTCACCACCATCCTCCTGCTCCGTACTACGGCAACGTGGCGCCTACTCCTTTGCAACCTGTCCAACGTGCTCCCTCCCAGTCCACTGTGCGCAAGACTCCATGGACATGAATTCTGTCTGATGTGCTCCTTGACAGAGCCCTCCTCCCATCAAGATTGGAAGCGTGATCTCCTTGGTTTCGAAGAGGCAAGGAGGGAGGAGGAGAGGCTGGTAGAAGCTGACAGTTCCGTACAGTGAGCTGAGATACGAAGGCATCCTCGAAGTCGTGAACCCGACTCAATCTACCGTACAACTCGGGAACGTGCGATGCCTGGGAGGTCTGGCAGGATCGAACCTCCTCGCTGGTCTACTGACTCTTGATCAGACGAAGGGCGACGAGGACCGGACTCATTCGTTGCTCCTTCCGAGCAAATCTACGAGAGAATCGTCTTCCGTTCGCAGGTCAAGCATGATGCCTTGGCGTCTCGCCACCTCATGCCATGGCAGGACATCAAAGACATTCATGTGCTCAACCCGAGTCTGCACGGTAAGATGTCGCTCCAATCCTTCCCTTCGTCGCATGCTCCTCCGTTCTCAACCCCGCCCCTCGGATGGGTCATAGACTCAACGCCGTCGACAGGTCCAGCAAGAGATCCAGCAATCGTCAGTTATCAGGTTGGCACTCCCAATCCGCCCGCCGTGAGCACTTCGGTCAGTCCACTTTTGCTGCTCGCATCGACCTCTCACCAGCTGCTCCTAGACTGCTCCTGTCGAGAAACGTCCATCCCAGAGTTCTCCCCTGTCTTCACAGGCAGCCAACGTCTCTGCTCCTGCTGTTCAGAAGGTGCGTCCAGTCATGCATGACGCTCTCCAACTGATCCATGAGCAGCTCCCGCCATGGTCGAATCCAGGAGACGGTCTGCGATTGTTCAAACCGGGCCAGGACACTTCAAAGTTTGTGGGCAATGACAGGAGGCAGAGTGCTTACGCAGACTATGTACGTGCCCTCCACCTCCTTGCAAGCGATGAGGTCCGCTGACGCCGGTTGACCATGTCAGAACATGAACGGGAACGCTCCTTCGAGGACGGGGACGTTCCAAGTGCCCAGGGGTGATGGAACATATCCGAGACGAGGCGTTGGTCACTTCCGGAAATCCGATCGCGAGGTGCTGCCGGGCCCGGCCTTTGACTGCACCCAGTCCTCACTAGGAGCCTCAGGACCTGCACCTGGACATCGCGGCGCTTTCAAACCACAACACGACAATCAGTGTTCCCACCGACTCGTACAACGCCACGTGAGTCCCTCCCCTGCCCTCCCCTGCCCTCCCCTTTCCCCATCCACCGATCCCGCTTTCTTCCTGCCTTGACTCGATGCGACACCAGCGAATCGTTCTGGGACACAATCTCACGAGACGACCAAGTTTCGAGAAAGGGGGGAGGAAGGTTCTACCGACACGATAAGGTGAAATCAAACTCATGCACTCCTCCACTCTCTCTCTCTCTCTCTCCTGGTTTTCTATTTCCAATGGCTCCCCATCGTCCTCAGACCTTGCTTTCCCTTCTTCCCTTCCCTGAGGTCTTGAGCAGGAGCTGGAGACCTTCGGCATGATGTGGAGGACTTCATACAGGGGTCGACGGGTCTGTCGCTCTGCATCACTGAGGGTTTTACTAACGTTGTTCATGCTCAGGGAGGTCGTGCTCGATACAGGAGAGCCATGGGAACAGGCATGAGAGCACCTGAGCCTACGAATGTACATGTTCAACACCAGTAAACTGAAACCCTAGTTCACTGAAGTGCTGTTCATTGCGGCAATTGCCCGGCAACGTTTTAATTTACTCGGATCAGGGTTGTTCCTCTCTGTCTTTTCTCTTATCGCCGTACAGTGGCTGTGCGACAGTGTGAGGGTCAAGCGTCTCCTGATTGTCCTCCGATCACTCCGATCATCCCGACTCCCGTTAATGACACTGGGAGCTGTTTCGTCCGTTGTAAAACGTTACATTCTGATTTCAAGCCTTGCAGTTTGATGGCAGTTAGAATCAGCGTTGAGTGTGTAATGGTGGTGGCGGAGGCGACGACGTGAGGCGAGGAGGCGAGGAGGAGGAGAAGAGAAGAGGAGGAGGAGAGGAGGAGAGGAGGAGGGGAGGAGAAGAGGTTGAGGAGAGGAGGAGAGGAGGAGGAGGAGGAGGAGGAGGAGGAGGAGGAGGAGGAGGAGAGGAGCGGAGGAGGAGAGGAGCGGAGGAGGAGGGGGGGAGGAGGAGGGGAGGAGTAGAGTGAAGTCAGAGATGCAGGCGCAGGGCGACGGGGTCCTGACAGAGGGCCAGCTTATGAGTGGCATGGTGTACAAGCAGGCACGAACAGCAGGAGGGCTGAAGTGGAAGAAGAGGATTGCAAGGCTTGACCTCAAGTCCGGCATCTTCACCCTCACTCCCTTGATGGAAGTCGGAGAGCACCACGATGCTCCCGCAGAGGCGAGCAGCAAGAAGAAGGTGACGGAGATTATCGACTCGTTCACCGTCGTCAGCATGAGGAATGAGAAGGATAAAGACAACGCCGATCATCCATGGAGGATAGAGCTGCGCTTCTGCCACCTGGGATCCAACTCTACTCAGACCGTGCTTCTCCTGGCGGTCAGGGACACCTCCGTGCGAGACGAGTGGCTGGCAGCTCTCAGGAACGTCATCCATGATAAGGCGCAGATACGGGAGCAATACTCCAAGTACTTTGACCAAGAGTCTGAAAAGGAGATCGAAAACTACGTCGAGAACAAGTCCAGGATCCTGTCGACACCGCTGTCTGTAGTGCACGAGCTCTTTCAGATCTACGATCAGGACAACAGCGGGGCGTTGGAGCTGGGGGAGGTAGAGTACCTCTTCCAGGACTTGCTCTACACTTATGGGAGGCAACTGCCGATTGAAGACATCAAGGCCCGGGCTTCAGAATGCGTCCAGATGTCGTCATCGCTCCAACCAGGAAAGGTGACGAGGAGCGAGGTGATATCGTGTTGTCTCCTGCCACTGTTGCTGTCTGAATGACATGGTTCTGCTGCCCTAGTTTGAAGACTACGTTGCAAACAACCCTTGCATCTTCGGCAACATGCTCATGTGGCGGTGCATGTTCTCCAAGTATGCTCTAGAGATCACCGACGAGATCGAAGAGCCCGGCCTGATCCAGCTGGTCCTCGACGTCATGTCCTCAGCAGGGCGCTGCATGGACAAGGAGGCAGGTTGTGCCGATGGCTCGGCAGCAGGAGAGCTCATGGTGACGCGTGCGCAGGTCGTCGGTTCGCAAAGCAGATCCTCAAGAACTACGGAGGTGACGATGCCACCCTGAGCTTCCCGGCCTTCCTGCAGTACGCCAGCACGCGCGAGGACCTCTTCGGCTCCTTCGCCCCGCAGAGCACGACGTTCCGACCCGAGTCGAAGCGCATCATGAACCCGGCCGGCAGCCCTGGGGGAGAGCTGGGAAAGGACAACAACATGACCCAGCTGAGCGACCAAGAGATGAAGATGGGGATGGACTCAGGCTCGACAAGGCCTTACCCGAGCTCGATATCGGTCAGGAAGTCGCAGCGGTATCCCATCATGCACGAGACCTTCAAGCGAAGTTCGCCCATGCTGAAGAAGGAGAGCTCCAATGCTCTGCTCGCCGAAGAGCCGTCGGTTCCTTCCGTCTTCATCGGGCCCACCGACCACCCCAAGAGGCAGGGGTACTCGATCAAGTGGCGGAAGCATGCGGAATCCACAGACGACAAGGGGCAAGGGGGGAAGGAGACCGAGTCAGGGCAGGAAAGGGAGGAGAACCAGCTCTTGAAAAGTCTGGGACGGTCCATGTCGCTAGGAAACATTTACTCCGTTCTCTCCGCGTCGGACGACACCTCGTCCATGCCCAGCAGCGATGGCGTCAATACTCGGCCTGATCGCCCGGGCAGGAACGACAAGGCACAGCTCCGCCGGCCTCTGGCCTCCTCCTCCTCCAAGAAAACCTCCGAGGTGAAGTCCTCCCCGCTCCTGCGCCGGCACATCAACCACGAGCTCGGGGACCTCTACCGCTCCTACCAGCTACCAGGACGGCTCTTCCAATCCAAGTCTTCCACCTCAGTACGCCTCTCAGTCCTCTGCTCTCAGATCTCCTTGTTGACAGCTGGCAGGAGAGGAGGGCGGTGACGGCCAGCACGAGCAGCTCGATCTTGCTGGAGGACGCAGAGTACGGCTCTCAGGCAAGTCAAACATCCTTCCTTTAAGCATGCCTTCACTGACCAGCCTCTGTGTACCCAGGGCTTCATATCGCCGATGTGGGAATGACTGAGGGGTAAACTCCGGTATTCGGAACTCAACAAGCAGAACTGTGCAGTTCCAGTGCCCACCTCTCTCTTCACTCAAAGTTAAATAACACAATCAGGCCCCGGAGAGTGACTCTGACACTCAACACTACCGTCACGGTCCGATCGCCATCATGTGCGCGGCGCGTGACTCCACCTCGCCATGCGCACAATGATGGCAGCGAAGGCCCACAGACCCCATCCCCTGGCACATCTGGTGGATCGTATGCCAGCCGTGCCAGTCAGATAGCGGCCGAGTTAAGACGCCCCTTACGCGTTTCGACCTCCCTAGCCGTCCTCTCATGTCTGGATGCTTTGATTTCACATCCTAGCATACAGTCTATCTCTCATGTGCTCCTCAATTCTGGTTTCGTGTGCCGCGAAGTTAAACACGGTCTTGAGCAAAAACTGTCTGGTCGATATGATGTCTGCCGCTGATTACCTTGGCAAACTTCACAAGCCTAACCGTCAAACTTGTGCTCCGTCGTCACTATCCCCCTCACCCCCCGACAGGCCCGCCTCTGGTCCCGCCCCGCCTCCCCTCAGTGAGTCCGGCACGGGCCGGGCACTGACCGTGCCGTACTGAGGCCGTCACTGGGCAGACTGACTCAGTGAGTCAGAGTCCGATCCCTAGCCTGAGTCCTCAGTGGCACCGTACGGTCGATCCAGCCCCAGGGTATGAGGGAGATGAGAAGGGATGGGGATGAGGGCCAATTGAATGCAGCGCCATGTCAGCAGTGGAAACATGGAAAGGGGAGAAGGACAGGAGGGGGGGAGGTAGCTGGCCATGAGCAGGTAGCTAGCCATGGAGTGAAAGAGAGGGAGGGAGGAGGGAGGAGGGAGGAGTGAGGAGTGGATACGTCGGAGGGTATCAAGTGGAACATAAGGGGGACTTCTTACGAAGCAGACACAACGAACACAAAGAGAGATGGAGCAAGCACGAAGGGAGCACTCTAGTTCTAGAAGACACACATCAAATATTCTCTATATCCCAGCTACACCTCCTCCTAACGTCTCTTTCCAGCGTGCATTTCCAGGCACTATGGCGGATGTTTCACCACCTCCACCGCCTCCCCCTCCCCCCCTCCCCCTCCACCCGCCTCCCCCTCCCCCTCCCCCCTCCTCCCCCTCCCCCAGGCGCCCCTGTTGTACAGAGCACTCCAGAGGTCCACACCAACCATGTCGCCGAGGTCAGCAAGACGGAGGCGGAGCGAAGGCTGATCTTTGAGGTGGTTCTTGCGCCGTGTGTGTCATGGGGCTGAAGAGCTTGCGCAGCTTCCCAAGACGATGGAGAAGCTGCGAGAGGATGTGCTCGAGTGGTCCCTTGCCGACGACGTGGGTCTCCTCAGGGTCATCGAGGACGTGTCGTCGGACATTCGCAGCCAGATCCGGTTGGTGGAGAAAGACGTGGACGACCTCTTGTTCGAGGCCTCCAGGGCCCACGTGGCACTTCGCAACACCTTCACGGACTTCTCCATGCTCTCCCACCGCCAGGTGCTGACGTGACCGTCGAGCTCTCCTCCCCCGCTCACTCTTCTTGCAAGTTTGTTGAGAACCGCGTGTATGAGGAGGACGAGGTTGTGAAGACCAAGACGGATAGCAAGAACGAGAACGCGGTAGCTTCCTCTTCCCTCCCTCCCTCCCTCCCTCCCTCCCTCCCTCCCTCCCTCCCTCCCCTCCCTCCCTCCCTCCTCCTTTCCCTCACCTTTTCCTGCTCACACGTCTTCTCCAGACTCCTCAGAACGATGCTCAGACAAGGGAGGCGAATCTTGTCCCCAAGGTGAGAGGAGGGCAAGGGAGGTCGCCGGAGTCTGACTGCCCGCTGCAGTACACGCAAGCGATCGCTGCCTCCTACAAGGTCCTGCGATCACGCGTCCACTCCCTCGAGCAGATCTCGAGCACTTCGCGAGGCAGCTACAGCAGGCGCCCTCTCCCTCTTGTCATCGGGTCCTCAAAATTCAACAGCAATGACGTGGTGATGTGTTGAGGAGGAGGAGGAGGAGGAGGAGGAGGAGGAGGATGTGCAGGGCTGATTCCTACCTGCAGGCTGGGATGTGCAGCGCGCTTGAAAGGTGCGAGGCCCCCGTGGAAGAAGAATTTGTGTCCGAGGAGGAAGAGGAGTTTGTTCCCCGGGCCAAGCAGCATGCCGCCCAGCCGACTGCCAACCACCAAGAGAACGGGGAGCAAGAGAACGAGGTTGCCTGCTGCAAGGGGGAAGGGGCTCTAGATTGAAGCTTCTTGTTTACGCAGAACATCTTTGCAAGGGCTCTGGACATAGTGGAAGGAGAGGGGCTGTCTAGTCGTCGTGATGTGACGTCGAATGGAGGTCTGTGTGGTTATTCTGATGTGAAGGTGAAGTGTTTGTCTCCTCAGCTTCTGCTCTCACGTCAAATCCCGTCGTTGACGACGACGACGACGACGACGAGATCTTTGGTGGAGGATTCTTTGGGAGCATCACCAGCAGGAAGAAGAATGTTGGCTTGTTCGGCGACGAGGTGACCTGGCGACATCTGCCCGTCGTGCTGCTGACGTTATCGACTTCCTCTGTTTGCTCGTAGCCTGTCCAGGACGACAGAGACTATGTCGATCTCTTCAGCAAACAACCTGCAGAGGCCAAGAGTTCCTTCATGCCGGAGGAGGGGGCCAAGGATCTGTTCACTCCTGCCTCAGGTTTCAAGCTCTTGTTCTCTCTCCTTGTTTGTTCGAACGGCTTCTCCTTGCTGCGAGCCTCCTCGCTGACCTCTCGTGCTACAGGCTCCTTGTTCGGCCCACCGGACGACGCACATGACGATCAGAAGGTGAGGAGATCCTGCGAGATGCTCGAGCTTGACCGGTAGAGCAGGAGAAGAAAGATCAGGTGGCTGATCAGCCAGCAAAGACAAACTCACTCCTTGCTGCATCCAAGGTGAGGGGAGTAGGAGAGGAGACGACCCTGTGTGTTGATGTCGGAGGGCAGCACAAGGTCCGGAGGCCTGACTCGAGCAGCGACGAGGACAAGGACGAGTGGAGTGATGACGATAGCGTTCCTGCTGCTCAAGGATCCAAGGCCGTGAAGGAGGAGACGAAGCATAGCAGCTCCACTCAGCGGCAGCGGGGGAGGCTAGATGGCTTGTTTGACGACGATGACTCTTTCTTGTACGACTTATTGGTGGAGGGGAAGGGGCTGGTGACTGACTTGGTGGGTCGAAGATTTGGTGGAACCTCTACGGCGGCGCAGAAATCGTCCCCGGCGATAGTGAGCGATTGTGGATATTTTGTGCACCAGGGCCTGACATGTTACTCTTTCAGAATGTACCCTCGCAGACTTCAAACACCAAGAAAGGATTGTTTGATGATGACGATGATTTCGTACCTGTCATCAAACCGGTGAGAAATTGTGCACGATATATCCGCTGCGAAAGAGGGAGCAGGCAAGGAGGGCAAGAGAGTTGGAGTGCTCGCGAGATCTAGGAGAAGAACAAAAATCTAACGAATGCTGTGTGGTCACAGACAAGCACTGCTGGAGGGGGAGCAAGCAAGGCAGAGGCCAAGCCCAAGGGCGGACTCTTCGGGGATGACGACGACGATCTGTTCAGCAGCAAGGCGAAGGTAGGCAGGAGGGAGAGGGAAGAGAAGGAGGGAGGATGTTGAGGGGGGAAGAAAACGAGCAGGAACGAAAGTCAAGGAAGAGACTGACGTATTGACGGTATGTCTGCAGGCGACTGCGGCACCAGCTGGGGGATCAGCAGCTGCGAGCAAGGCAGAGGCTAAGCCCAAGGGAGGACTCTTCGGGGATGACGACGACGATCTGTTCAGCAGCAAGGCGAAGGTAGGGAGGAGGAGAGGAGGAAGAGGAAGGGCAAGAGGGAGTGGGTCTGTACGGGGAGGGCTGACGGACGCGATGGTACAGCCCAAGGCAGCACCAGCACCAGCATCGGCATCGGCAGGGACGCCAGGAGGAGGGGCAAGCAAGGCAGAGGCTAAGCCCAAGGGCGGACTCTTCGGGGACGATGCGGAGGAGGATCTGTTCAGCAGCAAGGCGAAGGTAGGGAGAGGGGAGGAGGAAGAGGTAGGGGGAGGGCTGACGGACGCGATGGTACAGCCCAAGGCACCACCAGCACCAGCAGCATCGGCATCGGCAGGGACGCCAGGAGGAGGGACGAGCAAGGCAGAGGCTAAGCCCAAGGGAGGACTCTTCGGGGATGACGACGACGACGACGATCTGTTCAGCAGCAAGGCGAAGGTAGGGAGGAGGAGAGGAGGAAGAGGAAGGGCAGGAGAGAGTGGGTCTGTACAGGGAGGGCTGACGGACGCGATGGTACAGCCCAAGGCAGCACCAGCAGCAGCAGCCTCACCGGCAGCAGCATCGGCATCGGCAGGGACGCCAGGAGGAGGGGCAAGCAAGGCAGAGGCTAAGCCCAAGGGCGGACTCTTCGGGGACAATGCGGAGGAGGATCTGTTCAGCAGCAAGGCGAAGGTAGGGAGGAGGAGAGGAGGAAGAGGTAGGGGGAGGGCTGACGGACGCGATGGTACAGCCCAAGGCAGCAGCACCAGCATCGGCATCGGCAGGGACGCCAGGAGGAGGGGCAAGCAAGGCAGAGGCTAAGCCCAAGGGCGGACTCTTCGGGGACGATGCGGAGGAGGATCTGTTCAGCAGCAAGGCGAAGGTAGGGAGAGGGGAAGGGGAGCAGAAGAGAGATGGAAGGACAAGTCTGTGAGACTAGGAGGGAGCAGGAGGGAGCGGGAGGAAGGGCAAGAGCAGAGGGCTGTCAGACTGAGAGGGGCGGTTTTAGGCGCAGGCGGCAGCAGCAGTGGAAGGAACGTCAGGGGGAGTATCAGGAGGGACGAGCAAGGCAGAGGCTAAGCCCAAGGGCGGACTCTTCGGGGATGACGACGACGACGACGATCTGTTCAGCAGCAAGGCGAAGGTAGGGAGAGGGGAGGAGGAAGAGGAAGGGCAAGAGGGAGTGGGTCTGTACGGGGAGGGCTGACGGACGCGATGGTACAGCCCAAGGCAGCAGCACCAGCACCAGCACCAGCAGCCTCACCGGCACCAGCACCAGCAGCATCGGCATCGGCAGGGACGCCAGGAGGAGGGACGAGCAAGGCAGAGGCTAAGCCCAAGGGCGGACTCTTCGGGGACGATGCGGAGGAGGATCTGTTCAGCAGCAAGGCGAAGGTAGGGAGAGGGGAGAAGGAAGCAGGAGGGAGCAGAAGGAAGGGCGAAAATTTGAAGACTGATTGAGATGTTTGTAGAAAACGACAAGAACAGCAGCACCCCCACCCTCCAAAGACGAAGCCCAGCTCTCCTCGACCTCCAACAGCCGCAAACTGGCAATGACACTCAACATCAATCCCTCAGCCATGCTGCCTGGGGCCAAGCATCCCAAGAAGAGCGAGGAAGAGAAGAAGGAGGAGAGGAGGGAGGAAACCAGGGAGGAAAGAAGGGAAGAAAAGCGGGAGGAAAGGAGGGAGGAGAAGAAGGAGGGGGAAACGGCTGGGTCTGTTCTACAGCACGAGACGGCCCAGAGGCCGAAACTGGCAGGGAGGAGGAGGCCTACGTCGAGACTTCCAGGTGCGAGCTCGGAAGCAGCAGAAACTTCAGGGGTAGAGGCGAAAGCAGAGGGCGTCGCGCAGGCTCCAGCGGCGGCGGCGGCGGCGGCGGCGGCGGCGGCGGCAGTGGTGAAGCAGGTGCAGGAGGTGCAGAAGGCAAAGGAGAAGGAGGAGGCGCGAAAGGCGCAGGACGAGGACGAGGACGAGGACGAGGACGAGGAAATCTTTTCATCCAAGCCCACCTCCTCTAAGTCAATCTTCTAAAGCCTCTCAACTAACTAAACCCTCTTGAACTACCCTCCCTAAGTCACTTCCTACACCTGCAGACCACCTGCTGGGCTCGGCTGGTGACTTTCACACCCCCCAGCTGGTTTCCAGCAGTTCTCCGCGCTCGCCTCAGCGATCGTTGCGACGTATGACGTACCGCTTGTCCTTCGTCTGCTGCCCGAGAGTCCTGGGGCGGACTCGCTTGTCGGCCAGCTTTCGCTTCAGCGTTGGCCTGCTGGAGGTCAGCTGGGGAGGGAGGAGCTGAGAAGACTTGCCACTTGATGCGGGGGATGAGGAGAATGCGAAGCCTCTTAATGGCGCTGAGATTGGAGACGTCGAGGATCCTGCGATGAGGGTTAGCAGGAGAGACGGACGAACAGAGGTGGGAGGAGGAGGAAGAGTGATGATGATGATGATGATGATGATGATGATGATGATGATGATGATGATGATGATGATGATGATGATGATGATGATGATGATGATGATGATGATGATGATGATGAGTGA